TGATCATAAGAATTCACTAAAGATAACAAAAAAAAATTAACAATAACTACTTAAATAATAGGTGTGAGAGTATTTCAATCATATTTTTATGATAAGACAAGGTAATTTTTGCCATCAACTTTATTTTGTACTAAATTCAAGTTTAATATGCTTTGGGTGTTTAAACACTTTTCTTAGATCAAAGGTTCCTAACAAGCCTTGCTTGCAACCACTAATAATCAGATAATAGAAACAGAGTTACCTGCGTTAGCCATAAATTATTATTTCGTATGGAGAAGACCGAAAATGCATTCGTGTAATGCTGCAACTAAATGGAAGATATTCGGGTTATATTAGCCGTCAGTTGCATCTTTGTCCAAAATTTATAAATTCAAGGGATCACATGCTATTAGTTGTTTAAAAAAGTTCCGAGATATAAATCAGCTGAAGTAGAGCATTATTTAAAAAATTTAACAGTACCTTCATAGCATGCTGCTTATTGATAGCTTTATCTTCGTACTTATAATCTAGACGATAGAACGCATATACCACATATTATATTGAGGTTTGAGGTTTGATATTGATTTCAACAATGAATCATCGCGTCATGATTTTACCAATGACGCGATGACTAGTACGTGCGTTCCTACTAAAAGTAGATGGTAGATGGTAAAAGTAGATCATTAATTCTCTTTCTGCTGGAAACATCTTATACCAACGATAAACATGGATGTGCGAAAAATATTGCCTTCCTATAACTTATCTATAACAGAGAAATCCAAGAGTACGAAATACTGCGAAGTCAAGCTGAAAGTAGGAAATATTATAAAAAGATTAACGCCATGACTAGTGATGGAACGGATAGTGATTTTGCGAAAAGCCAGATACCGGATATTCGCCATCCCTTTCGGTCGGATATCCGGCATATCTAGCCATTATGGTTATAATTTCTGGTACATTTCTGAAGTGATACCCTATATAACCACATTATTGCGATATTTGAATAAAAATGAAATTAATAAGAAACCTGATAAGATATGTCAACTTATTTGGATCCAAGATGCAGAATTAATTTTTTTGATGCTGATTTAACTGCAAGAGTGACTCCGATTCACAAATCTGGCCCCTCTGGCGATGTAGGAAATTATAGACCTATATCGGTAATCTCTTGTTTTGCTAAACTTTTCGAACAATTGATTTATCGCAGGATTTTCAATCAAGTAAAACTTTCGTTGAATGTTAATCAGCATGGATTTATTNTGGAACGCATATACCACATATTATATTGAGGTTTGAGGTTTGATATTGATTTCTTACCAATGACGCAATGACTAGTACGTACGTTCCTACTGAAAGTAGATGTCAGAGGGAGCTAACCCGATTTCGATTCTGTATGAATAACTTTCGTCCTCATTTCTGCTGCGTATATCATCGTCATTAATTCTCTTTCTGCTGGAAACATCTTATACCAACGATAAACATGGATGTGCGAGAAATATTGCCTTCCTATAACTTATCTATAACAGAGAAATCCAAGAGTACGAAATACTGCGAAGTCAAGCTGAAAGTAGGAAGTATTATAAAAAGATTAACGCCATGACTAGTGATGGAACGGATACTGATTTTGCGAAAAGCCAGATACCGGATATTCGCCATCCCTTTCGGTCGGATGTCCGGCATATCTAGCCATTATGGTTATAATTTCTGGTATATTTCTGGAGTGATACCCTATATAACCACATTATTGCGATATTTGAATAAAAATCAAATTAATAAGAAACCTGATAAGATATGTCAACTTATTTGGATCCAAGATACAGAATTAATTTTTTTGATGCTGATTTAACTAACGAAGCTCTAAAAAGTGGATACTTTAATTAATAATTGACGATATTTCCACAAAGATCCTTCAAGAAATGAATTTTTAAAACTTAATCAGCGAAAATTGCAAAATTCGAAAAAGTTGTCGATCATTTCAAAAATTTATTTTTCAAGAACTGAAAGTGATTTTTCAAAGCGGCTTTTTGCATTAAAAAGAGGATACTTTAATTAATAATTGGTGATATTTCCATAGGGATCCTTTAAGAAATGAATTTTATAGCAAATTTTGAAAATTATCGATGAAAATTGCAACATCGAAAATTTTATCAAAACTTTAAATATTGCTTTCTCAAAAACTAAAAGTTAGTTGTCAAAACGGGTTGGTTCATTGGAAAGAGGACAGTTTTATTAACACTTTGGGAAATTTTCATACTCATATTCCAAGAACTGGATTTTATACGAATTTTTAAAACTTAATCGGCGAAAATAGCAAAATTCGAAAAACATGTCGATTATTAATAAAGTTGTAATCAATGAAAAAAGTCCTATTGGGGTTGAACTTGATTATTATTTGCAGTGTCCAACAACTAAAAGAGATACTAATTCCTGTGAATGATGGAGTACTAAGTAATAGCTTTTTAATACCCAACCAAAGCCGGGGAAACTATCCGGTATCCGGCCGGATTTTAAGAAATGGACGGATAGGCCGGATACCGGATAGTTGCCAGATTTCCGTTCCACCATTAACCATGACAAAAGAGTTTGGACCCAAGATAAACGTGGAGGAACAGACAAGGAAGCATACTTAATGACAACGCCGATATCATCCAATATAGATGATATAAGAAGCGCAATGGGATAGAATAAATGTAGAACTTATCAAGCAGGGTGGGGAAACTCTAGCGAAAGTATTGCACAAGGAACGGATGCGGGATGACTAGCACATTGGAATAGTAAGCCCAATACATAAAAAGGGAGTTCAAATGGATTGTTACAATTATAGAAGTATAACGCCTTTTATTTATACGGAGTATAAAATATTATCATACACACTTTTCGAAAAAATAAGAATTTATGCGGAACTCAGAATTGAGGTTCGTCATCGTGGATTTAGAAGGGGATGCTCCATTCACCGACCTCAATTGTACCAAGCAATGAATGAGTTCTAAATCCCTGAAAAAAATATAGTGCCCACGCAGATGACGTGGGTGTTCTATCAAAATCAGTAAGGCAATCTAAAGAAGCCGTGTCCACTCTGAAAACAGCAGCGGGGAGGATAGATATTGTTATCAATGAAGCAAAGACAAAGTTTATGGCAGTTATAGATAATAGAAGATTGCAAGATGCTGTGCAAAACATCTAGAATTTTGGGGTTATTTATTTTTTAATTGATTTACTACTGAAATAAACAAAAAAAACCAAGAAGGAATGGAGATTGAAGCTTAATTGAAACGGAGCTAAATAACTCATTTCTTTGATGATTAAATCTCCATTAATTTATTTATTTACATTTCGGCTATTATTACAAACAGTTATTGTTACTGTTTCGAATTTTTAGTGATTGTCAGGACTATTGTTTTTCAATGTTATACATTTTAGAGGTGAAATTGTATAGAAATAGTTAAACACAAATAACTCGAAAACCGATCGATTTTAACAAATTTTACACCTACCTTTTTTATGTAAAATTAAATTCTGTTTCAGACCATAATTCAATTGACAAACGAGTTGATTTGATTTACTAAAATAATAACACATATCTAGCATAGAAACTATTAAAGCCTATCTGACACATTCAATTTTCATTAACAATTTATAGACAGATGTTTCAATTCTCAAACCTTATTAATATTATAATATCTGTAACATATTGTGTAATAAATAATCTATTTATATTGATATCTATAAAATAACGCCTTGTCACCTTGTAAAAAAAATTATTAAAAGATGAGTCACATAATTTTATTACCTGAAATATTCGAAAACAGGTTATCCCCAAGTTCAGATTTTTTTGTGTATAAGGGAACCCCCCGTTGGGGTCTTTTCTTGAAAAGGACGGCTGTCGGTGACAGATAACGCTATCGTCCCGAGGCCATTACTGTTCCGACCGCCCGCGAAGCGCTCATCATTAGGACGCCGCCCTTCGGCCCCCAAGGGCCGGAACAGGTGTCAGGGAGCTTCGCAAAAAGACAGTAATGAACCGCGGGATCTTCCTACGATTCGGTTTATCAAACGGGCATTACGGCTTGAGATTTAAAATCCGCGGAACGGGACTTGACACGCTGTCTGTCTTGTTCGGAAGGATTTCCTCCAATTAGGTTCGATCTCTTCTTTAACGTTTTTTTGTCTATTTTCCATGTTTTTCTCAAGAAAAGGCTTTTCCCTTCGTATTTCCTTGTTTAAAATGGAGAAAGATTTATGAAAAGAGGTCGCTAACCATGTAAACAAAGGGAGTAAAAATTACCAGATGAAAGTGGATACAAAGCGGTTTAAATTGAGCCATTTAGTTATTATATTATTTCCAGACTTTGTGAAGGTAGTCAAAACAATTTGTGTTTCATAAAACTTTAATCAGGCGAACGCGCAGATCGTGGTATTTACATGCACGCCATGCGAAAACCAATTATAACTTTGCACTTTTATTGCGCGGGTAATTTTAAACTTCATTATAAAAATCTTACAAAGGCCCTTCGAGGGTTTCTTTAAGAAAGCTCCAGGGGGCCGGGTGAACGGCGAAAGGTAGAAAACGGGCGGAGAGGGCGCTAATCTCCGGCGGCCAGGCCGAAATGTTCCCAGACGTAAGAAAATAGTTACTTTGCCGGAATGGCGTTCTAGATTTGCTCGCGTTCAATTTAAAAAGCCGGGAACGCTCTAGATTTGAAAGCGGCAAGATCCCGCGGGAGCTTCGGTTTAAGTTATCTCTTTGGCCAGGGTTTTCGGCTTTCGGGACCCAGGAATTACCCATTCGACTTTTAATACCAACCAATCTCATGTATCGAATCTTACGTCAGATTTCCCGTCAATTTTGACACCCAATACATGTCTACTCTATAATATACGCTACATTACACATACTGGGTAACGGTTGTTTCGTATGTAGTTGCAAGAATCAACCTCGCGACCGCAATCCATGCAACCGGTTGCTAAATCAAACCGTTACTTGCTCTTCGGCTACAGGTGAGAATGTAGTTTTAAAAATAATGGAACCTGCACCGCCGTTCAAAACAACCGCTGTTATAAACGGAGAATTTCACGAATTATCTTTAAAAGATTATAAAGGCCAATACGTCGTTTTAATTTTTTATCCCTTTGACTTCTCCATCAAGTACCCAGGAGAGTTGGCGTCTTATTCCGAACATGTTGATGATTTTAAGAAACATAATAGTCAACTCTTGGTATGTTCAACAGATGGTCCTTACACCCACTTAGCTTTAATAAATACTTATGATGATGAAAGCAATCTTGGTCCCATTAAAATGCCAATGTTAGCCGATAGAAATCACGAAATATCTCGATGTTACGGCGTGTTAGATGAAAAAACAGGAAACGCATTGAGAGCGTTATTTATTATTGATTCAAAAGGAATTTTAAGGTATTTAACAATCAACGATCCACGATTTAATACATCAATTAAAGATATATTAGAATTAATTAACGCCTTTAAACAATTGGATAAGAACGATGACCAAACTATACCCAAAAACGCAAAAAATCCACCTAAGAAACTAAAAGGTGTTGAAAAACCATCTGATTCAAGAGTGGAACGACAAAAAGTACGACAAGAAGTACAAAAAATTACAATCGATCAAAAAAGGAATTCAAAACCTGACTGTTGTTATAATAAAACCGAAGTTGAAGAAAAACCCAAACCCGCCACAAAATCAAAAGCAGAACAAGTGGAATCTATTTGTTCCAATCCTAGTAAGTGTCAAGAATGCAAAGTTCATGGATACGCTTATTTGTAGATACAATGTGATATATTTATAAATATATATTTTTAAATTGTGTATTAAATTTATTTAATAGCAATTTTCCTTAATAATCAGTTGATTGTCAAACACAAGCCTCTCATGAATGTTGGGCATCACTTTTTGATGCCTCTTCATCTGTAACTGCAAGCTTCACCCTGCATCTTCGACGCTCATGCTTTGCGATAAAGATCATCATCATTAACATATGACTTTGAGTCGTTATTAGTTTTCTATCAGTACGCCATCAATATGCCAAGTGCAAAAGACTCTGGTTTTCCCTACAAAACATGTTTTAGCACGTTTGCGAGTCAATAACGGGAATGCCACAAGTCTTGACTATTTATGAAAAAAACAAGCGACTCATACCTTGAAGCTTCGTACCACATTGCATATCGCATTGCTGTTAATAAAGCGTCGCTGACAATAGAAGAGGATCTTATAAAACCTTGCATTGTAGATGCAGTAAAGTGTATGTGGGTCCAACAGCACAATTCAAAGTCGTATTGAAGAAATAAGTAACGATATTTTAGCCACAGTCAGTTAACTTATCACTGCATGATACACTGATATGGCGTGGCTGTTAAGACGCTACCTTCAAATTTCCTGAGCGCTTTAAATGACATAGTGAAAATTGTCAATCACATTGGGAGCAGTGCCACAAATTTGAACATTTTCAAAATGTTATGTCATGAAGTTGGTGCGAAATTTGATGTACTAAATTAGTACTACTAATGTTCTACACCGAAGTACGTTGGCTGTCTTGTGACTTTTTAGTGACATTAACACTTTATATCTTTTATTACAAGGAAATAAGCAATATTCTGATGGCGCAAGACAAGATTGTTGATTTATTGCGAAAACTATAACTTTGTAAACGTAGAGTTCAGTCGTATTGGTGACATATCGATGTTCACACACTTGCCCGAAACATTAACCTCATACAAGGAAGAAATATGCTATTTCACTAATTCCATACTACCTATCTTCTTTTATAAATTCGTTGAACCCATATTTCCCGGATATAAAGAACCGTCAAGCTTCATCCCAGATACTGAAACCATTTTTTACAGAAAAGAAATCTTCAAAAATTAAATGTTTCAGCTAAGTTCAGTTTCTAGAACTACGCGAAACAGTAAAGGTGGAATTCCAAAATTGTGACCTAGCCATGGTTTGGACAAAAATGCAGAGCGAATATTTTATTTTAGCTGACAGCCTTTAAGAATTCTAATTCCATTTCGGAATACATAGAAATGTGAGAGTGGCTTTTCAACTTTAGTTTCTATCAAAACAAAATATAGAAATCGGCTCAGCGTACAGCACAACTTACGATCTGTTACAAACATGAAAAATCTTGTTAGGAAGAAGCAATATCAACCATTCCATTAATTATTATTCAAAATTTATCCTAAACATAAATTTTAGTGTAATGAACATTTTTTATTCAACCCTTATCTGTTCTTATTTCTTGTTCCTCGGCTATGATTTAATATTAAACTTTCCAGTAGTAAGCATGACGATAAGGAATCAATTTTTGATGGATTAAAATGCACTGGATTTGATTAATTAATTTACCACACTTGTAATTATTACATTAACAATAAACAATGTATTTTATTGAATTTTCGCTAATGTAAAATGCAGACAGAAGCAGAAACTGTCAAAAGTCCAAACTTTGAAACGCACAACCGTGCTCGGACTGCACACGTTGCTATCAAACTATGCGAATTGCGGTCAGATTTAACGCTACGCCACCGGCGACGCTGGTACTTTTTCCCGGACAAAATTCGCATTAATTGGAATGAAAAGTTCATTAAATTTAATTTCGACCTGGCGAATTTGCATGTCGTTTATGCCCACGGGCGTAAAAGCGTTTTACGAATACTTCGTTGTAAAACATGTGGTATAGTTCAACTATGATGTTAATTTTTCAACTCACTGATTTTACAATCTACATTTTATGCTAACTAACTTGCTTTGATGTTCTTAAAGGTACGCTTTTTATCGATTATGTATACTCAAGAAATAATCTGATTATGATTATGGCTGAGTGTGCTGTTATCGTTCGCTCCCACTCAATTTCCATTAAAAAACGTTCTTCGATCCTTTTCATTTTATCCCGCGTGCGAACTTTGGTAACCATAGAATCGGGGTTGGCAAGTCCTCATTACAATCGGGATGTAGTCGGTGGCCCGTGCGAAAATTAAAGATCAAAAACTGTGGCCGAAAGCTTTGTTCCTATCCATCATATAATCAGTGGAACGGGAAGAGCAAAGACAGGTCCGTAACGCGTTTTTCCCCGGTCTCTATCGGCGCGCTAATCCCGTTACGACGCGTGACGAGTGGCAGAGCCGTGTTGTACCGGCCGAGCGAGTAATTGAATCGGCCGACACGGAATACGCTAGAGATCGAATCGGATTCGATTTAACCGCGCGGTCAGAGGCATTCAAATTGCGGCAGGTCCCACGAGACCGAGCCCGGCCCTGTCGCCGTTAGGTGATTAGTAATGCACCGCCGGAACGACAATTTATATTGCTGCAGCATTGAATTGTCCAATCACTTTGACGGCCGTCGAAGCCGATTCGACGGTTTTTTTCTCGCTACGCGAACGAACGCCGGCCGCACCTGCAGTAGCGCCATCTACGGAACCATCCAACCCGGTCCTGCCTCTCTTCTCTAACCTAATTTCGCGCACGGCTCCGGAAATTTCCTCGCTACGAAATTTTACGTTTCGTCTTTTTCTAAATGGAACCGAATTGTATCTATTGTACAAATTCTCAATTTGGAATGACATAATTATAAAATAAACAATTTTCTATTTTTGCCAAATGTATCAAAACACCTTTTAACATCTTTCTAAGATCCAACTGGATCAAATATTTTACATATATTTATATTCTAAATCGGTTGTCCCAACTTTAATAGGGAGCTGTTGTCATAAAATTTATGACACGCGCTAGCTCATGTTGTAAAATCGTTGATCATCCTACCAGATAACCTGTGCGTGCTATAGTGGATAAATTCAAATCGAGATATTCATTATTGTATCTTGTTGTGCCAGTGAGACAACGCATCGGTACCGAAAATAACGCAGTCGTTAGTGTTAGTTCAAAATCAGCCAAATTAATAGATTCCACGCTGTTCACAGAATTAAGGATCTGTTAAACCACATTATGTCAAATTTTGCATATTATAACTCAGGAAGTAAAGCTTTTTCATCATTTGATGCGCCGAAACTTCTTAGGTTGGGCGTTGCTAAAGCTTGAAGAAAATCCTGAGTTTCATCTTTCAACGATGAAACTCATTTTTGGCTTAATGGCTTTGTCAATAAGCATAGGGCCGGTACAATACACCGATAAACTTCCCGACAGCGTTGTCTGGCCGATAAGTTAGTTTGTACTGTATTACAATGTACGGATATTTTTGTCGGATTGATTATTGACAAGATAACTTATCGGGTACTCAGGCCCGTTACTACCAAACCAATGCTATCTGTCAGTTAAGCTATCTATAAGATACAATTTATCTCATAGATAACAGGTTCGTGCGTACTACCACCTCCATTTATCTCATAGTTAAGAAATCCTTGCGATAAGCAAGGAATATAGGGATTTTTTGGTCTATTATGTTAAATTGACAGCTCTATGTGGTCAAAAGACCTACTATTAGGTATTTTGACGATATTCTAACCTGTTCTAACCTTAAAATTAAAGTTTGGAAATGGAGACCAATTTCATCAAAGAAGAATGCGAACATCTTCTTGAATTTGTTATCAAACATAAAAACGTAATAGAAAACAAAAAAAGTGATGCAGTTACATGGCAAGGAAAGCAAAATGTATGTATATCTCGTATTATTGTATGTTAAAATATGATGGTAAACAATAATGGCACAACTAACATGATGAACGACTGAAGATACCAATTGTACACTTACTCCTACAGAATCTGCTATGGATAGCAACATGTTACCTATTGCATGAAACCGAAGAGTCTGAGTTTGAAGGAGGTACAGCATTATTACTAAAATGTTGATGAATTTTACATTAAATAATAGCAATTTTTTATTTAAGTTTATATTACTTTTCTTATTTTGACTGAAATAGTAAAACGCTCGAATTTTATACGTCAGTATAAATTCTATTTGAGGTTAGGTATCCGCAGTTATCCCTTATATAGCAACTTATCCGACACCAAATCTACGGGTTACAGATATTTCAAAAGTTATCCCTTGGATAGCGGTAGCTATAAGATAAATACAGTGGTAGTAACCAATTTTTAAGTTTTCCGATAGATAACGCTGTCAGAGACTTTAACTATAAGTGGTAGTAGTGGGCTAAGAGGTGCCGATAAGACGGTTATCCGCCAGATATGTAAGGTTACCAAGGTTTTTATATAACAACATTGACAACGTTGTCTGTCGTGAAAAAGTTTGGTTAGTTTGTTGTTTTGGAAGGAAAAAAATAAACGTGCTACTAATTATACACAAGAGGAGTGTTGGCGATTAATTAAAATAGTAGAAAATCTAGCTAATATTATAGAAAATAAAAAAACAGATGTGGTCACTTGGAAAGAGAAGGTATAACCTACTTGGTAATTATTTATCACATATCTTGTATTTTAGAAAACGGCATGGCAAAATATTTGTCAAACTTTTAATTCAACCGGCACCACAAACCGTACATTGGAACAGCTTCGCAGTAAATACGAAACATTAAAAAAAGATGCCCGTCAAGCCGTTGCCAAATACCGCACTGATGTGATGGGTACTGCTGGAGGTCCATATGAAGAAAAGTTGAGAAAAAGTTAAGAAATTTGATAAAACTAAGCTGCGATGGAACACCATCACAATTTAACAGTGATTGTTTAGGTTAATTATTTTACCAATTTTATAATATATGTGTTTAACTCTGTTTATGAGAAATGCATGTTTAATCTTAACTGTTAATTCTTTCTTTCTTAACTTTTTTTTGTTAACCGAAACCGTCTAAAAAAATC